ATCTATGCTTGTCGTCTTCAGTGATAGTCAATCACTTAAAGCTGACCTGACAACTACATAGTTGAATACAGTTGACTAGTTGTTGATTCCAATGGCAAGCGTCCCACTAAATCATGTTTTCCATGTGGGTTCGGGCAGACTTGCTACGAAGTTAAGCTGTTTACATATCATGGAAATGTTTGTGATAACCAACAAAGAGCACTGGACAGCTGTTTCGTCCTGCTACTCTAAAATTATTAAGCTTTATTTTTTTATTCATATTCACTGTTATTTCGGGGGTTACCAACAGCGAATGTTACCTGTAACTGCCGACAAATGCTCCGTCTACTTGTCCCATGAGGTAGTTCAACCAAAGCCGGGCGAGATTCGGACATATGAAAAATAAATACTACCAAATATAACGGGTTAGACAATAGAGATAGACGAAAGATCAACAGAGGGTAAAAATAGCATTAAGCGCACACACGAACAGCGGGACTGTAATGACTGCCGCCATTATTACCATCTGCCATCAATTAAAACAAATAGACACTCTGAAAGAATTTAATAGATATAAACGTAATATACATTGACGGAATGCATTTGTACAATATTTTTAAGTCTATAAACCTACTTTTCAGTTTATGTATGTTTTATTTAGAAAGTGTGAATTCTGGAGTTAACTAGGAGCACGAAGTGAAACATTGTGTTAGCAGAGGTTTGATTACGAGGGCTAAACAAAACGTTTCGGGATGGGCAAAATGTTTAATTTGTTACACAAATGCAAGCATTACATTTTTACGAAGCATTCTCCACCAGCGTTTATACGCAGTTCCGTCCACTCTAACCATTTGGTGAAACATCTCGAGCATGACAAGCGGGTAAATCTTCGACCAGTTCAATAAACACATCCACTGCAGCTGTTGATGACTCGTATCGGATTCCACGCAGCATGCGCTTTACATTTGGGAACAGTGCTTCTCTAAGACGGGTCATCACCAAAGACAGGTTGCTAACGATGAACACCCTGTTATAAATTTAAACCACATTTGCGGTCATGGCAATTCATCGCCTTCAAGTGACATCCACTGGGTTCCGCCCCTACAGTTTGCGTATAGAGACCCTTAGGACTTGTGAGCTGTGCTTGGCTGTTCATATTTGGTTCTATGTGATTTGCAATTACTGAACGCTATTCACAACAGATTACAGTTCATGTTTTCCTTGCCCGATTATCCGCAACACTTACAAGTACTGCGTATCCGGAAGCGTTTTGTTCAGTCCTCGTATTATCCACCTGCATGGAATATTAAGTACGGTGGTGAAGGGGCAAGGCAAGACAGTTCCAAACGTATGGCTTTTTAATAACACAACACAGGGCCACCATAAATCGATCAATATCTAAGCAAGAACTAAATTTACTATGGAATTCTCAACAATCATCACAAGTATTCTCAATCGAATTTAAACAGAAACCTTCGAAATCATTTTATAATTATTTTCGCGCATGTACACCAGTAAATGTTATCTCCAATTGTTTGTTTTTTCATGCTTCTTATGATTCTGGTTACTTTGTAATCCCCATTCGCTTCATTTTAGTCCTCAAAACGTTTCAGTGACAATATTTGTCGTGCTCTTCACCTCATAAAAGACATGCTGTTGTTCGTTTCTGTGAAACCAATGCCACTTAAGTTACATCAGAATTGTCCATGATGGGCAAACACAATCACAGGTCACCTAGAGAGAAAAATCCGTTTCGAAGATCGATCCGCTCAAACCGATTGAGAATCTTTAATCGGGAGAAATCGGTCCTGATCGGTTCACTTCGGGTTTACCATTCTTTTCGACTCCGCGATTTGTTACTCTTATACTGTCAATTAATGCATTCAACCAACCAACTGCCCCTCTTCCTTTCTGGTCCAAGAACTCTGCACATGACTGATTTCACCGGCTTTACCATAATGTCATCGTAAAAGTAACTCAGGTATTTTATCTGATCCATCTTTTTTTAATCGAACAGTTATAATTGTTTATCTTTCTTTTTGAATGATTTTCTCGTTTTTTAATTTTTTTAATCTTCGGAATGTGCATTGCTCCTCACTTTTCCCTATAAAACGTGATAGACACGCCAATTATATCTCATCAAATCTGTTTTTGGGAAGTTGAGTTTGAACATGTCAGTGAAATTGTCAATTCCATCAACGAAACATAAGAAGGAATGATTAAACAGTATTAAAATAGATCCGCAGTAGATCCCAGATTTTATCATATATATTATTGTATTTTTCACGTGTCCAAACCCGTATACGCTCAATTAAATTACAGTACAAAACTTCCTACAGTAAAAAAAATAATGGATGACTCGCTTGTGAGCAATATACTGCTAGTTTGCTTTGGCGGAATCAGGAGAGTTCTCTTGTGGGATTCGCCACCGTAGTCTTGGACTAGCCACAGCGTAAGCCATAAGGCAGCAAGCCGGTGTGTGGAAACCGCTTTACTT